AAAAAAAACCCCAAATACTATATGATTTCACTTATATGATACAACATTCCTCAGTATTTGAGGGGGATGGGTTTCAGGACCCTCCACAGAGACCAAACCCTGAGGATGCTCACATCCCTTACAGATGGCCCTCAATGTCTGCAGCACCCTCAGATACAAAGGGCCAACTGTCTGTCTATAGCAAATACCAAACTTATGGAAACAGAAAGAACGGTAGTTACCAGAAGCTCAGTGGATGGTATCATATAGTCTAATGGGTTTAGAGTTTCAGATTTGCAAGATGAAAACATCCTAATGATTTCTTGTACAATAGTGTGAATATAGTTAACACTACAGAACTGTACACTTAACAAATAAATAGTTAAGGTATTAAATTTTATGTGTTTTTTTTACCACAATTTAAAAAATAAATTCATTAATAATTTTTTTAAAAGAATCTTAAACTGGGGAGATTATCCTGTATTCTCAGGGTAGGCCCAGTGTAATCACAAGGGTCCTTAGAAAGTGTTGAGATAAATTATTGATCTAGATTTGAATATACAGCAAAAAACTCGTGTTTAAAAATAAGGACAAATAAAAACATCTGCAAGAAAGTAAATGCTGAGGGAGTTCAGTAGTCTGTTGTAAAGGAACTTGTAAAAGATCATTTCAAGATGAAGGAGAATGATTCCAGAAGGGCAGCCTGAGGTACAGTGAAGGGGCAGGAAAGACACTTGGTAAGTCCAAACAAGTGTTTTCCATACAAAATTACACTAGTCTCTGTTTCTGTGAACTTTTATAAAAGGTAGAGCTGAGTAATGATGGCAGTAATGTGTGAGTCAGGAGAAGAACGATGAGAGTGAAAATATTTCAAATTTCTCACATTGTTGGGGGAAGAGATGGTTCAAGGTACCTCCTGTTTAACGTTACACAAAACAGCCTAAGAGGTCTCCAAAGTGGTGATTCTAGTACTTCTGAGATTTCATATTTTTACATTCAAATATTTGATCCAGTTGGAATTTGTTTTGGTATAAGGCATGGGGTAAGAAATTCAACATTACTTTATCTATATAGCTAGCTACTTACTGAATATATACTTTTTTTGTTTGTTTTTTGTTTTGGTGGCTGGCTGGTATGAGGATCGAACTCTTGACCTTGCTCTTATAACACTATGCCCTAACCGAGCTAACCAGACAGCCCTGAATATATCATTTACCACCACTGATTTTAAATGCCACTTTTTCTCTTCTATGGCATACAAGCATAAACACACCCAAGCACATGCACACATGAACACATACATTCAAGCACACACACAGTTTTCTCAGTTTGTTTGTGGAACCTGACAGACCATCTCTAAAGTGCATCTAGAAAAATCAGCAACAGATAATGAGGAAAGAAGGGGCTGTACTCTCTGCTACTCCAGGGGATCTTCAAGCAAGAACAGTCCCTGCCGGTGGTGGGCTGCATGGCAGCTTTGGACCAGGCCTGGCATGGACTACATCATAAGGGTGTTTCAAAAGTTTGTGGAAAAATGAAATTAAAGGACAATAGGAATCTTTCCATGAACTTGTTAAAGATCCCTCATGTACAGACCGGCTCCCGCTCGCTGGCTGGGCGAGGCGCGGGAGCAACACCGAGGCCAGTGTTGCGATCCGTTGCTGGACACGGAAAAAAGACAAAAGACAAAAAAAAAAAAAAAAAAATCCCTCATGTATGAGAGCACTACGGTAATTAACCAAGTCAGACTGGTGCCAGGATAGACAGGTCATTGGGACAGAATTGAGAACATCTATCAGATGATTCAGCTATTCTACACACAGGTCTGCCCTTAGTCTCCAACACCATCAGTCACTGGGTAAATGCAAATTAGAACCATAATGAGCTACCACTAACTATGTCCCTATTAAAATGGCTAAAATTAAAAACACTGACTTTACTAAGTGTTGGCAAGGTTATGGAGGAACTGGAACTCTCAAACATTACTGGTGTGAATATAAGATGGTACAGACACTATGGAAACAGTTTGGCAGTTTCTTAAACTGAACATACTCCTGCTGTGTGATTCAGACAATCCACTCCTAGGTATTTACACAAGAGAAATGAAAACATATGTTCACAGAAATATACATGTCAATGGAAGCTTTTTTGATAATAACCCAAAACAGGAATCAACCCAAATGTCCATGAACAGGTGAATGGATAGCAAACTGGGATATCCACACAATGGAATACTGCTCAGCAATTAAAAGGGACCATGTATTGATACACCCAACAACAGTGATGAATCTTAAAACAATTATGGCAAGTGAAAGAAACCATACAATGAAGAGTACATACTGTGTAATTCCATTTATATAAAAATCTAGAAAATGCAAACTAATACATAGCACAGAAAGCGGCTCATCGTTGCTTGGGGTGTGGAAGGAAGAACGGAATGAAAGGGACATGAGGGGACTCTGGGGACATGGATGTGTTCACTGTTTTGGTTGCAGTGATGGTTTCATGAATGTACCCACACATCAAGACTTACCAGACTGAACACTTTATTTATTTATTTATTTTTATTTTTTTTTTTTTTAAAAGATGACCGGTAAGGGGATCTTAACCCTTGACTTGGTGTTGTCAGCACCACGCTCTCCCAAGTGAGCTAAACTGGCCATCCCTATATAGGGATTCGAACCCGTGGCTTTGGTGTTATCAGCACCACACTCTCCCAAGTGAGCCACGGGCTGGCCCTCAGACTGAACACTTTAAATATGTGCACTTTATTCTGTGTCACCTCAACAAAGCTGTTTTAAAAACCAGGAATTTAAAAGCTATTTTAAAGGAAGCAGTTTAATTGTGTCTTTCATGTAGCTAATAACTGGATGAGTTGGGTTGGAGCCCAAATCTCCCAACTCCTAGTCCAGTCCTCTTTCTTACACCTCTTGTTTTCTTCACTCCCAGATATCTTTCATATTAGAATTTCTTTCTTTTTTTTTTTAATAAGATGACCGGTAAGGGGATCTTAACCCTTGACTTGGTGTTGTCAGCACCACACTCACCCAGTGAGCTAACCGGCCATCCCTATATAGGGACCCGAACCCTTGGCCTTGGTGTTATCAGCATGACACTCTCCCAAGTGAGCCACGGGCCGGCCCATAAGAATTTCTTAAAGTTAAAATTATTTGCATGTTGAGTAGCCAAAAGTTGACCCTAAGTGACTATCCTGCTTACAGTAGAGAATTTCATAAGCCCAAAACAATATCAACAAGGAACACTTACCTTCCTTAATGCTTCCTGACCTTTGAGTGAAGAAGGACTGGGGAGGAGGAATTTGTGTGATGAGCGGCTGCTGAGGAAGCTGCTGAATGATGGTGGCAGGAGGGTGGGGGACCTAGGAAGATCCAGGTGATTATTCACATGCAGGTGGATGTGTCCTTGCAGAGAGTGATATACTGTATCTACCCACCCACCCACCCATGCATAAACACACACACCCATCCATCCATCCATCCACTCACCCATCCATACACCCATCCCTCCATACACCCACCCATACATACACCCACCCACCCATCCATGCACAAATACAGACACCCATCCATCCACCCATCCACCCACCCACACATACACACACACACACCCATACACACACACACACCCATCCATCCATCCACCTATCCACCCATTTATTCATTCATCCATCAAAGTAGAACTTTAAATGATTAACCCTAGAGATTGAATAGATGGTTGAATAGAAAGATATTTGAGTCTACGTATCATTTAGGACTTGGTTTTTTTTTTTTTTAAAGATGATCGGTAAGGGGATCTTAACCCTTGACTTGGTGTTGTCAGCACCATGCTCACCCAGTGAGCTAACCGGCCATCCCTATATGGGATCCGAACCCGGGGCCTTGGTGTTATCAGCACCGCACTCTCCCGAGTGAGCCACTGGCTGACCCTAGGACTTGGTATTTTTAATGTTTCCCACTTTTCTGTCTTCAGCAGGGTAAGCTAATGCCTAATTTCATTAAGTCTATTTTAATAGAAGCATCCAACAGTTGGTACATCAGTCTTTTTAATTTTAGCCATTAATAGGGATGTAGTGGTAGCTTATTGTGGTTTTAATCTGCATTTCCTGAATGCCTGATGGTGTTAGGAGTTTAGGGGTGGACCTGTGTGTAGAATGGCTGAATCATCTGATAGCTGTTCTCAATTCTGTCCCAGTGACCTGTCTATCCCAGCACCAATACTGGCATGGTTAATTACTATAGCACTATCATGAATTATAGTACATATGTGGAACTAGCCATGAAAATAGCCTCTGGTTTCTCTTGTGAGTGAAAATAAATGTACAGCAATTTCCAGAACACACCAGAATGACCTTCTGTTTTATTAATCTTCTTCTGCATATACAAAGTCCAGCATGATCTTGTCCCTTCTTCCTTGCAGAAAGGATGACATGGACCAAGGTTTGGCAAATGTTTTCTATAAAGGGCGAGGTGGAAAACTGCTTTGGCTTTGCAGGCCATATGGTCTTGGTTGCCACTACTACACTCTGCCGTCATAGCAGGAAAGCAGCCACAGAAAATATGTGAATAGATGAGCTGGGTCCAGTAAAATTTTGTGGGGGTTTGTTTTGTTTTGTTTTTTGACAGCTAGCTGGTGTGGGGATCCAAACCCTTGACCTTGGTGTTAACAACACCACACTCTAACCAACTGAGCTAACCAGCCATCCCTAATAAAACTTTTTAATGAACACTGAAATTTGCCATTTCATATCATTTTCTTATGTTACAAAGTATTATTCATTTATTGACTTTTTTCCCAAACATTTAAGAATGTGTCTTGAATTGGATTGTGTCCCCCAAAGTCCCTGTGTTAGAAACTTAGCCCCCACTGTGACAGTGTTAAGAGTAATCCTACTAAGGTAATTGAAAGGTGGGACCCTGATGAGGTGATTAGATTGTGAGGACCATGCCATAGTGAATGGATTAATAAGTTGATGGTTTAGTGGTGGCCATGGGTGTAATGAGGGTTTTAGAAGGAGGAGTGAGGAGTCAGCTCTCTCTCTACTCCACCATATTTACAATGTGACATCTTGAGTCTCCGCAGTCACCACCAGGACAAGGTCCTTCACCAGATGTGTCCCCTGGACTTTGGACTTCCCAGCCTCCAAAACTGTGAGCAATAGATTTCATCTTCTTACAAATCACCCAGTTTCAGGTATTTTGTTATAAGCAACAGAGATGGACTAGTGCAGATTCTAAGACCATTCTTAGCTCACAGGTTGGATGAGAGCAGGAAGCAGGCCAGCTCTGGTCTGAGCTGTAGTTTGCCAACCCCTAGAGGTATTCTTAGAATGGCCATGCCTGTCCCAGCTGGTGGGACCTCCTACTTCAGGGTCTCTGAGTCCAGCTGCCGAGAAGTTCGTTAGCAACCAAGGGCCCCTGCTTGCCCTCTTGGTGTCACTGGGGCAGAGACTGAAGCCTGTAGGCATGACTGAGTCCTTAAGAGTACTCAGTAAGTGTAGATCTGTTTGGGACCAGGGTGGTAGGGACGGTCTCCCACACCCATCATTCCCATCATTCTTGGAAGGAGGTTCCAGGTGCTGGAAGACAGGATGGCGTGGTCTGGGGATATCCAGAGCTTGGATGCAGATGGCCATCGGCACAGGGGGCTTTGGGGCTCCCTCCAAGGCAGCCTCTATTAATCTGTTTCTGTTGCTTAAAACAAAATACGTGGAACTGGGTATTTTATAAAGAAAACAAAATTTATTACTTACAGTTTTGGAGGCTGGGAAGTCCAAAGTCCAGGGAACACATCTGGTGAGGGTCTTCTTAGTGGTGGCTTTACAGAAATACAGGGGTCTTATATGGCAGAAAATAGTGGAGCAGAGAGAGAGACTCTCATGTGCTCTCCTTTTAAAGCCCTCAGAACCACGCCCATGACCACCATTATTAATTAATTCATTAAGGCATGGTCTTACAATCCAATCACCTCTCAATGCTGTTACAGTGGGGGCCAAGTTTCCAATACCTGGAACTTCGGGGGACACAACTTAAGCTTCAATGAGTTTGGGGGGGACATTCAATCCACAGGACAGCCCCTTCCCACTCTGTCCCTCTGATGTGTGCCACTGTCAGGGTCCCTCCCACAGGACAAATTCTGTCCAGTCAGGAGCCCAGCCAGCTTGTCCAGAATCTTCTCCACTTGGCCCTGCCCTCCTCTGCAGCCTCTTCTCTCCCACGCTCTCTGCACCCCAGTCATACTAAACTCCCACCCAGGCCTCAACTTGTTTCCATCCTTCTGTGGGTGCCCAGCTGCCCTCCAACACATTCCCTTTTACTAAGAAAGTTGAAGTTGCTTTCTGTTGCTTGCAACCCAGAATGCTCAGTGATGGTATGAAGCCCTCAGAATTGGAACACTCTTGTGCCTTGTTTTACTCTGCCTCTGACATTAGGGTCCTGAGTGTCCCCTGGTCACTATGAAGTTTTGAAAAAGAGTTGACACACTTTCCCAAGCTCAGGGCCCTCTGGCTGCTGACCCCCCAATACTTCTTTTCTTGTAGCAGGGGTTAGGACATATGGCCAGAGTCAAGAAGCAGAGCTGGGCCCACATCTCGTCTGGAATGAGGGATAGGGCTTCCCCTGCTCAAGCCAGTCTCGGGGCCATGAGGACAGATGGAGACGACCCATGGGACAGCGTACATGCTGCTGCTGTTGGCTCTTAAGCTGAGCCTCTTCAAAGCATGTTCATAATGCTGCCAGGGTTGGCCCAAGTCGATGCAGGTGTGGGAGGATGTACCTCCTCCCTCTCTGTTCAAATGATACGTGTCTCTGCAGGCACAGCAACGCCCACCCGCCCCACCCCCCACTTCTGTAAAATCTTAGTTCTGCCTCCTCCCCACACCACCATGAGATGCTGTTTTCACCTCCACCCTCTTACTGAGTGCTGGATGATCCTCGGGGGCTCTGGGACCAGGAAGTCAGCAGGGTAGATGCCCATGGGGGGTACCTCTGGCAGCAGAGCTGGCCCTCGTGTTCCTCTGCTTGCCCCGCTGAGATGCTGTTTTCACCTCCACCCTCTTACTGAGTGCTGGATGATCCTCGGGGGCTCTGGGGCCAGGAAGTCAGCAGGGTAGATGCCCATGGGGGGTACCTCTGGCAGCAGAGCTGGCCCTCGTGTTCCTCTGCTTGCCCCGTAGGAGAGCTCGTCTAGGAGGTGTTGTTCCTGCAACACCCACGCAGGCCTGCTGTCACTGTCACTGGTTTTCTCATGGGCTCTCAGGGGAACCTCCCCAGGGCACTCCCAACAGGGGCTGCTCAGGCCCTCAGATTGGCATGAAGACAGGCTGTGCAAAGCGGAGCCAAGGCCCTTCTTGTGGTGCACCATGAGCATACTGCTTCTTTTAAATTTTGCTGAGTAATTTTAACTAGTTCCTGGTTGTTTTTGTCTTCCCTGCCAACAGAGTCTGTTCTCCACTTCACTGTACAGGTTTCTCCACTAGAGAGGAAGCTCGATCTCCTGTCCCAGGTATAGGTTTGACATAACTACCCCTCTGACTCAGAACCATCCTTGGTGGGAGCATTCCTTGCTGCTGGAGAGCTCATTTAGGATGAAGCCCCAGGCCTCCTAGAATGCCACTTCCCACCAGAACCCCCTTACTCAACATTGCCACCTTTGGTCAAAGCAGGTTTTTAAGCTAACAATGCCCTTATTAGGGCCCAGTGTGTACGTGGTTCACTTCCTCTGGGAAGCTCAAGATAGTAAGGTCTTTTAGCTTCTCACAGCTCACCAGTTATCCACTCTCAAGTTGCGCACGTTATAGAACCAACAGTGAGTCCAGGAAGGCCTCCCTCCCTGCCTTTGGCCTGAGTGTGGTGGCCCACAGTGAGCCAAGCCAAGGCTTGCCCAGAGGGGGTGCAGGCCTACCCAGAGCCTCCGCAGAAGGTCCTTCCTCCTCTTCAGAGCGTTCTGCAGGGCATTGTCCGGCCTGTCCTCGTTTCCTGGAGGGAAGCATGCACTTACTCGCTGAGGAATGCTTTAAGTCTGGCTGCCATGCAGTTGGGGACATCACCACAGACCCTGTCAGAATCCTGCAATTTCACCTGCACCCCCAGGGACTTGGGTGTGACTGGGGAGCCTCCTGGGCTCAGGCCTCATGGTAAGTACTTATCCCCAAGAAAGAGCAACCAGAGCCTGGAGATTGTGAGGGCAAGGAGCAGTGGCTAGGGACTGTCTTTGAGGTGGGGTCTGCGCAGTGGATAGTCTCATTCCCAGAAAGGGGCTGGAAGTCGTGTACTGCAGATTCCTCCTCTGGGCCTATGCGCTGGCTTGCTCCTGCACACCTGTGACACAAAGTCCCTCAGGCTCCACGAGGCAGGAGGCCCCCACAGGGCTGGGTGTAAGCTCTGCCTCCCTCCAGCCCCAAACTCTCCGGAGACTGTTCTGCCTTCCAGGTGTCAGGTAACACCGTCTGAAGCTCCTGCACTCCAGAAAAAGCTCTGGAAGGGGTCTAGGTGGCTCCAGACCTGGGCTCTGACCTCCTTCCTTCCTGTAAACACAGCGGTCCTGCCTGCATCTCCCCCGACCAGGGGCATCACACCGGAGCTGGGCTGCTGGGGACGCTGAACAGCTAGTCCCCGGGGCTCCCTCAGGAATCCCCCTCCCCAGCACAGCTGCAGCTGTTCTGTTCTTGGTTAGGTGATCTGGCTTGGGATTTTCTGTCTGGATTTGGGACCCTGGGCTTTGCCAGCTGCCTGCAGTCCCTGCAGCCCACAGGCTGCCCCATGTTCCAAAGAACAAGAAATGCTCCTCTGGGTCTCCTCAGCTTCTCACCCAGAGGTCCCTAACCTGGATTCCATCACCAGATAACAATGAAGACAAGACGAGCCCTCCCCCCCCGTCAGGGGCAAGCTCAGGGCTTGGAATCAAAGCACAGTGGGTCTGATCCAGGTGTGACCACTTCTGAGCTGAGCAACCTGGGGCAAGTTACCTAATCTTTCTGTGCCTTCATTGCTTCATCTGCAAAATGGTAATGATGAATGGATCCCCTTCTTGGGGTTTGTAGACTAAAGGTGATAAAGGTATGAGGAGGGGTATGTGTTTTAAAGGAAAAAAGGAAAGTCTTTCAACTCTGAATGTAAAGTGTATTAAGGACAGTCTTCTGGTAGCTTGGGGGAGGGGGTGATTCCCAAGGGCACTGTCCCCACTTCCCCTTGGGATGGCTGCTCTCTTGCCTGCCTGAGCTGACCCCTAGCAGCCCAGGGGCTCTTACCCAGCAGGAAGTTGGGACCCTCAGAGTCCCTTTCCATGTTCTGTTCTTGCTCCAGCTTCTGTGAGGAAGAAAGACAGTGACAGGGATGTTAGCTCCAGGGGAAACTAGGTGTGCGTGGAGCCTGCTCCCCAGCCCTGCCCAGCTGGGCTAGGTGGACGCCTGGCCCCTGTGCTCAGGAATGACTGAGAGGCTTCTCAAGGCCAGCACCCCTGATAGAAGTGTTGGGAGCAGGATGTGCTATGCAAACACCACGTGGACAGGCAGCAAGGGTCATCGGTGTTCTCGCAGGGACTGTGTCAGTCAAGCATTCAGTACAGTGCACATACTCTGGCCCCTTCAGGCAGATTTCTGAAGAGCAACCCCAGGAGAGACTGTCCCGGTGAAGCCACCCAATCTTCCTTGTATAGCCCCCCTCATCATGCCACCTAGGCCCTGAGCTGAGCAGCTATGGGCTGGGCCTGTCCTAGGGTGACACCTGCTGGGTCCTCCCACAGCACTCCATGGGCCATTTGGACTCAGGGGTTGTGGGGCTGGCAAGAGGCAGGTGGCATGTGCCATCTGCAGCTGGTGCCACCAGCAGCAGAAGAGGCACAACGCAGAGAGGGGATGTGGAGGAGCCACCTGTGGACACCAGGCACCGGGGACTCTGTGCTCAGTGGCGTGCAAGGATGGGCAGGCCGGTCATGGCCACTCGGACCCTCAGGGAAGGTTAAGAAGACCAGGAGTAAGGAAGGACCCATGAGGCCACCAGCCCCAGCACTCAGGGTTTAGTCTCAAAACAGTAAGTATCCCTTAAACACTGTAGCCTGGAGGGAGCTTTGTGGGGCTGTGCTCTGGCTAGTGGGTGCATACCTGCCTCCTGACTGCAGGAACTGCTAGAAGGAACTACTTGGTTCTGTATAAATGCAAAGAAGAAACCACATCTCTTCATATGAGGCTAGAAAAGGGCTTTGGAAGTAGGAATATACTCATAGGCAGTTTGCCAAAGGCAGGAAATACAGTGTAATATCTTTTTATTTTCCGGTGGCTGGCTGATCCAGGGATCTGAACCCTTGAACTTGGTGTTGTAGCACCGTGCTCTAACCCATTGGTCTAACCAGCCAGCACTGGGTGTAATATCGTAGGTTTTGCTTCCTAAGCCTAGAACTCTTTTAAGCAGTTGTTAAGAAAGGAGTATCCCAGGACTGTCTCACCTGTCCCAAGAGTCTCAGTGTCATTCGGGCCATTTGGTCTGCCAGTGATGAGCCCTGCATCGTGGGAGCCTAGGAGATGACCGCAGAGGGCAGGAGAGTCCACGGCCCACTCTCTCCACCTACTTCTCAGTTATCTGCAGGAGAGACAGGTCTCAGGAACCACTGCCCCCATCACAGGAGATTCCCCCTGCAGTGGGCTCTTTTTACCCCCTGGAAACCAGCTTCAGTGGCAGAGAAGAGCTGTGCAAGAGGATGGCCACATCCCTCCTAGACTGCAGAGTGTCCAACAAGACAGGACTGCATGCCGCCTGGCGGTTGCTAGGTTGTGGAGGCCCCAGGTTGCCAGGTTTCCACGGAGAGTCCTTCTCAGGCCCTGCCCTGAGCAAGGGTTACCTATAAACACAATCCCCAGGTGTGGCCAGGCAGACCTTCATGGGAAGGCAGAAAGGTGGACAGCCACTGAGACAGAGGGGGGAGGGGACTGTTGCAACCACCCACGCACTGCCCTCACCTCAGGACAGAGCCCAGAAGGAAGGACATTAGGGAGAGGCCTGCCCCCCCCCCAAACACCAACCAGGCCTGCTGCCCCCTTCCTGCCCATTAATTACCTCCTCCAGAGAGCGAGCTTGCCCCACGCCCCTCCTAGAGACCCTCACAGCGAGAAGACAGCACAGCCCCAACCCTTGGGAGGACAGGGTGGAGGTGGGGGACCACCTGCCTGAGGATTTCAGGAAATTCTGGGCAGCAGAAGGGGTGGAACTGGGGAGAGGCTGGGGGCCAGGGTGCGACCCACCCCACAAACATGTGGGATATCCCTGCTCTGACCCCAGCCCAGAGAGGGGCGAGCCTGGAGGGCACATTCCCACCAGCAGGGGGTGGAGGGATCCCAGGGCCGGGCCCTGATGGGGCAGGCAAAACCCAGAACCTGCGAGTAGTGGTGCATTTGTATGGGCTCTAAAGTCCACACTATTAGTCAATCTGACTGCGGAAGCAGATGCAACAGTGAAGTTGGGAGGGCTGCTGGGGGCAGAGGTGGCAACCCTCCTTGACCCAGACGCTGGCATCGGATCACCAAAACTGCCCTCAGGGCCCCTAAATTTGCCCATCCACTTCAGTGTTTATGGTTACCTATCATAACCCGATTCTGACCCACAGTGATTTTGAGAACCTGTCTCTCACCTGTTGGTACTGGATGACAGTAGGCTTACTTCTGACATCTGAGAGTTCAACACACCCTAAGTCAGACTCTTGAACAGGAAACTGAGGCACAGCATCCAACAGGCCTTGCCCTCCTGTCAGCAGCACGCACTACCTGCCTCTCCCAGGCACATTCCCAGATGAGGGTTTAGGGGTGCTCAAAACACTGCTGCACACAAGCACACACTAGGCCCTGTGTTGAAGATCCCATCTCCTGTCCACAATTGTGGGCAGCGATGGTTTTATCAGACATTCACATGGAGGTCTGAGTGTGCACAAAACCCAGTTAATTTAAGGCCAGCCCATGGCTCACTCAGTAGAGTGCGGTGCTGATAACACCAAGGCCACGGGTTCAGATCCTGTATAGGGATGGCCAGTTTGCTCATTGGCTGAGCGTGGTGCTGACAACACCAAGCCAAGGGTTGAGATCCCCTTACCAGTCATCTTTAAAAAAAAAAAAAAAAAAAAAAAAACAGTTAATTTAGTTGACTCAGGGTAGCTAGAAGGTAACAGGCCCCACCCCCCCCACTCCCATACATAACACATTCCGGAGAGCGCAGGTTTGTTAGACAGATTTTTTTAAGTAGGCTTTTTAGGACAGTTTTAGATTTACAGAAAAAATGAGAAGACAGTAGAGAGTTCCAACATACTCCACCTATGGGTTTCCCTGTTATTAACATCTTACATTTCCACGGTACTGTGGGCCAAACTCAAGGCTGTCAAGGCAGAAATAATTTTTTTTTTCCTTTTTGTCTTTTTCCGTGTCCGGCAATGGATCGCAACCCTCAGTGTCGCCCCCGTACCGGACCGGGACCGGCAACGGGACCGCAACCCTCGGCGTCGCTCCTGTGCCCCGCCCAGCCCGTGAGCGGGAACCGGTCTGTATGTGGGATCCGAACCCTCGGCGGGAGCGCCGCCGCCCTTCCCCAGCAGCTCACCATAGCAGTGCACCACCGGGCCGGCCCAAGGCAGAAATAATTTTTTTTTTCCTTTTTGTCTTTTTCCGTGTCCGGCAATGGATCGCAACCCTCAGTGTCGCCCCCGTACCGGACCGGGACCGGCAACGGGACCGCAACCCTCGGCGTCGCTCCTGTGCCCCGCCCAGCCCGTGAGCGGGAACCGGTCTGTATGTGGGATCCGAACCCTCGGCGGGAGCGCCGCCGCCCTTCCCCAGCAGCTCACCATAGCAGTGCACCACCGGGCCGGCCCAAGGCAGAAATAATTTTTTTTTTCCTTTTTGTCTTTTTCCGTGTCCGGCAATGGATCGCAACCCTCAGTGTCGCCCCCGTACCGGACCGGGACCGGCAACGGGACCGCAACCCTCGGCGTCGCTCCTGTGCCCCGCCCAGCCCGTGAGCGGGAACCGGTCTGTATGTGGGATCCGAACCCTCGGCGGGAGCGCCGCCGCACTTCCCAAGCAGCTCACTATAGCAGTGCACCACCGGGCCGGCCCAAGGCAGAAATAATTTTATACAGTGAGTGTTACTGAAAGCCCAACTTAGGGATCAGCCTGGGAAACACAACCCAACAGAGTTGGAAAGTGAGTGTGCCTAAGTCTACTACAAGCAAAAGCATTTTATAAGGGAGTTTCAAAAAATGTGTTGGGGGAGGGGGAGAGTTCCAATCACAGTCATTGGCATTGATTCAACATGGGAACAAAAAGTGTTTACATGCAACCTGAAGTAGAAGCTCTGTGCTTCAGCTATTCTTAACAACGTCTAAGTGTCTTATTCAGAACTGGCAGGTTATACATTGATCAATAAATCAGCAGTTTCAACCCATACATTGTTTATCTTAAGAACAAGGTGTTGACATGGAGTTCATGAAACTTATGCCAAGGCAGTGGATTTTGGAAAACTTGCTTCATTTTGTTTACTTATTTATTTAATTTTTGTGTGTGTGTGTCTACATTTTGTGTGTGTGTGTGTGTTTATTTTTATTGAATCAAAATTGATTATAAATATTTTTGGGTTTTAACATTGAGATATGTTGATCAAATCAATATTACTAGCATATATATTGTAACAAATTATAATTATTCTTTATGCCCCTTGTCCAATCCCTCCTCATCCCCCTTTCCCTCCCCTTCCCCCTGCCCCCTCTAATTATCCTAGATTTCTTCTCTCCTTCTGACAGAATAATGGTTACTCTATTGATTTGCTGCCCAAATGATCTGTCCAATGCTGAGAGGCCTGATCAGGTCCCCTAGTATTAGCATAGAGCAGATGTCTCTTCCATCACTATGAAATGGGCTCGGTGGAGACAGACATCCTCCTCCTTTCTTTATCTCTGCTGGTGACTCTCCTTGTGTCAACTCACTCCAGTGGCTGGCAGATCATCTGCGTGGCGGTTGTGGCCTTTGTGGCAGCCATAGTTATCGTGGTAGCTATGGTGGGCTACCCACATGGAGGAGATGTTTTTGGACTGCTCTGTGGTGGTCGCAGTGTGCCTGGTTGTCTGATCCCCAGTTCCCCAAGGCACTGGCATGGTGTACCTGGTTGTGGGAGGGGGGTCCAGTCCGCTTCTCCATGCCCTGGATCCCTGAGTGGGCCCTGAGGTGCTGGCACAGGGTGCCTGGTTGTGGGAGGGAGGCTCTGGTCCCCTTCTCCATGCCTTGGGCTCCCGGGAAGGGCCCTGATGCACTGTCCCAGAGTGCCTGGTTGTGTGTGGGGGGTCCAGTCCCCTTCTCCATGCCCCGGGTCCCAGAGCCGGCCCCAAGGCACTGGCACAGTGTGCCTGGTTGTGGGAGGGGGGTCCAGTCCCCTTCTCCATGCCTCAGGCCCCTGGGCAGTGCCCTGATGCGCTATCCCAGAGTGCCTGGTTGAGGGGAGGTGGTCTGGTACCCTTCTCCATGCCCCGGGCCCCAGAGCAGGCCCTGAGGTACTGGCACGGGGTGCCTGGTTGTGGGAGGGGGGGTCCGGTCCCCTTCTCTGTGACCCAGTGCCCAGCACAGGCCCCAAGGCACTGGTACAGTGTACCTGGTTGTGGGATGGGGGTCCATTCCCCTTCTCCGTACCCTGGGTCCCTGTGCAGGCCCCAGGGCACTGGCGAGGTGTGCCTGGTTGTGGGAGGGGGGTCCGGTCCCCTTCTCCTTCCCGCGGGTCCCTGAGTGCGGGTGCTCAGGGGTGGCGGGCCCCGAACCTCCCAGTAGCCCCTTTTATCCCCCCGCCACAGGATGAGCAAGAGAGGGAACCGGTAGGATTACTTCTGCCACCCTAGTGGCCAGGAAAGCCTGGGAGGAAGGTGAGTATGCTGCCCGCCTATTCAGCCCCACAGACACTCAGATGCTTCAGATGCGGCAAGGGTTCCGTCAAGCAGTTCCGTTTATTTTCACACAAGCACCTGCTTTTATAAGCATATGGCAAGGGGATTTTCTAACTTCAGCCTATCATCTTAAAGGTCATGTGAACATGCATCTTGCTCTAATGCTTTGCTATTGCAATCACGCGGTGAGCACGAGCGCGGAAATATCTTTTATCCAATAATTTTTTTTTTTTAAAGATGACTGGTAAGGGGATCTCAACCCTTGGCTTGGTGTTGTCAGCACCACGCTCAGCCAGTGAGCAAACCAGCCATCCCTATATAGGACCCGAACCCGTGGCCTTGGTGTTATCAGCACCACACTCTACCGAGTGAGCCACGGGCTGGCCTCCAATAATTTTAAACTATGCCTTTCCTTGGTTACTCCCTGGCGGCTTCCATCAGGCACCATCTTTATCTCTCCTGTCCAGGCGAATGTTTTCAACACATTACATACACGTATGTGGGTGGGCTCATGGCTAGTTCTCTGCCCCGGGAGGAGGTGTGTGGCCTCAATGCCCCAACACCGGAGTGGGCCACAAAGTGCTGGTGCAGGGTGCCTGGTT